CCTTTAAGGAGTTTAGACTAAGGGACATATGTAGCCTCAGGGCTTTCTATGATTCAGAGCATCCCACTCCAAAGGATCGCCGTTTGGTAGATGCTCCGTGTGGACCTACCGTGCCTTAGCTGAGTAGATACTAGAACAACTCTGGAGACCCTAAACCCTAATGCCTAAACNNTATAGGGTTTAGGGTTAGGGCTTATATCTAATCCCTATATGAGCTTATATGACCCTCATAAACCCCCCTAAAAATAATAGTACTGTACCAAACCTAGGTAAGAATCACCTGATCACACCCTACCCTTCTTCATGGTGCTCTGCCTAACTGGGCCAAACGTACTGGTGGTGAGTAGGGAATATCTTATATCGGGATTCTGCAGGGATTCCCTTATTCCTTACTCGCCGTACTAGCCTCCAAGAAGAATAGACCGCGGGGAGAACCTCTAGCAGTTCACTTGCCCAAAACGATTTTACCGCCGCTCACATTGATGCGCGGCAGTGTCTGCACATCGCCACATAACAGCACCTCAGCTCCTTGGTGAACAGCCTGTTTGTCCTTCAGCTTCTGCAGTCATCCACTGGTCCAAAGCGATTTTGAAAGAAGCTCAGCACCCAAGACTCGAAGAGAAGGGCGGCATAGTCCTGTCTCATGTCCTTAGCCGGCCCTGCCACTGGCCTGTGCCTACCATCTTCCCTGGCCTGAATCGGCTGACGCAACTAGAGAGCCTTGAGGACAAGGAGCCAGGTACAGCGGGTCCTATTCATCGGACTTCATTCCTCGAAGGCGCTTCGAGCTGCGCACATGCGTTTCCTCGCTGGAGACCTTTCGTACCTCTTCCTTCGGAGGTGTCAGCTGATCTTCGACCTCACTGCTGTCACCGCCACATTTGGGGTCTCCCCAGGTCACAATAGACCCATCACGCCGCACTGCGGCGAAGGCGTAAGGTGCACTATGGATCTGCTGGACGTTCGTCAATTTCTGCTTGACTCTCTGGCTGTCTCCGCCACTTAGTGCATCACCCCAGGTCACGACAGACCCATCACTCAACCGGGCTGCAAATGCCCCCGACGACCCATGAATTTGCTCAACTTTCTTCAGCTGAGCCTGTACAGTGCTGCTATTGCCACCGCTGGAAGATGTCCCCCAAGTTATCACGGAGCCATTGTCAAGCAGCGCTGCAAATGCAAAATCCGTTGCCTGCACATCCTGCACCTTTTTCAGTTGCTGCTGAACATCACCACTGAAGCCACCAAAGAACGGCGAACCCCAAGTCACCACTGATCCATCCGCTCGGAGGGCGGCAAATGCAAAATCCGTTGCTTGGATCTGCCGCACATCTCTTAACTGCTCCTGGACGGCGTGGCTGTCACCACCATAGGCAGCATTTCCCCATGTCACGACGGAGCCGTCACACAAAGTGGCGGCAAACGCATGGCGCGTGGCCTGGATTTGAAGTACGGTCTGCAGGCGGTGCTGCACAGAGTTGCTGTTGCCTCCCGAGTCAGAAGCGCCCCAAGTAACCACCGCCCCATTGCCCAAACGAGCCGCAAAAGCTCGTGCAGAACCCTGGACCTGCTGCACATCCACCAGCTTCTCTGCGACACTGCTGCTGTAACCTCCAAAGGTGGGATCGCCCCAAGTCACTACGGACCCGCTGCTGAGCGTTGCAGCGAAGGCTCGGTCATTGGCCCACAGGCAGCGCACCTCCGCCTCCTTTGGCAATCGGAGTCCACTACAGCAGCTTACAGCCTTTCCAGGGCCCCATGTCACAGTCTTTCCATCCCTGAGCAAAGCAACAAAGAAACCCAGAGCCACTTTCTCCTTGTTCGTGTTGGCTACAACCTGCTTCACATCCTGCAACTGCTCACATGGAGCCGGATGTTTTCCCCAGGTTGTGACCGATCCGTCGGCCAGGATTGCGACGACGGTGTCCGAGGTTGCTGCAAAAGAAATTGGACCCGCATGCAGCGTCAGAACGTCACCTGAGGGCATCTTAACATCTTGAGTGCTTTTTTGAAGGGTCTTTTAAGTAAGCATGCTTGTATGTTGGGACACAGTTGATGGAAGAACTCCTCGGCCACCCTACACGCCTCACTTGGGGCTCCGGTGGTGCAACATTCCTTCCATGAACAATATGCAAGGGGCCCCGTGCTTTTCAGAGACCCCCACCATTCTTGAGGCCCGTCTGACCAACAGTTGCACGCATGTTGAGGACGTCTCCAGAAGGGCCAAGGAGTTTGCCCCTAACACCCAGCAAAGCCTGGGCACGCTGCCTCACCTTACTCTGGTGTTGAAGAACGGGATGTAGGGACAGAATGCAGGGCCTATTATTATTGGATCCATTCCTCCACTACCAGCAGCTCCACAGCTCAACAGCCAGGGTAAGGACGTCTAACGATTCTTTCAAGGCAGTCCATGAGACAGGACCTGTCTGGTGTAAAGGCTTGAGAAAATCACTGCTTCAAAACATCTTTCTAACAGGTAAGTCACCTCATCTACGAGCCATTCATTTGCCACCTCCATTTCGGCAGATCTCCCGCTAAGCAGAGAAACGCTGACGTGAAGGGACATGCTGCGCGCTTCTCACGATAAGCTACAGCTGGCACTAAAAAGCAAAGGGTGCTACAGAGCCAACAGAGCAAATTCCCGCACGTAGTGTACAGATTCGGCTAAGCGCACAAACTTTCAAGCGTTCGAGCACGTCCCCACTGAAGGCGAAAGGGGGTAGGCATTCAGTGGGGCGGAGTGTACAGTATACAGCATGTTCAGTTGGCACATGAAAAGAAGGCATTGATCGGAATGCCGCCAAGTAGCAATGGCCAAATTCTTGGCGTCCAGGGACAAGAGGTTCTTCAGCCCTGCATCATCGAGCAGCACAGAAGAGCTTCCACGACCCCTCCCCTCTGCGCAACTGGTAAATGCCATATCTGGAGACAAAGACATTTGAGCGTATGTATGTGTACATACACAGGGTCATCATGCTTTTTGCTGCATATCTAAGCTAACATTCGCATGAGAAGGCTGCTGGTGGTTGTACCGATGTAGACTGTCCCTTTTGTGAAACAACATTCTTGCTCTAGCCTTGGGGATAACAGTAAGTACCCCAACATTGGTCAGACATGACATTATGTAAAATGATCTGGTAACATATATATATATATGTATACA